GTTTCAAAGTTACTCCTGAGGATGACGTTGTAACGACAAAACATGTAGAGTCGTCAACTTTTTGAAGGCCATAGATAGGCCTAAATAAAATGTTTTTAGTTGTGTACCAGTTTAACGTTGAATATTATTTATGCTTTTAACTTTATACACAAGTGCCAAAATACTATAATTAACAAATATTGTAGTACAGCAACCCTCAACTATTATTATTTTACACAGAAATTAGATTATTTTGTAAGATCTACTGGAGTGTATGAGACAACTGTTCACTACTTGTTTTTATTTCAATAGAAACTGTAGTTATAGACCTGGTCCCACATTCTTGACAAGTGTAAAAGACAACAACAGCTGTTTATTATTTGTCTTTATTTGACTAGAAACCGGAGTTACAGACCTGATCCCAAATTATTGATTATTTAGATCAACAAGCTATCAAAAACCACAAAAACATATAAAAAAGTAAATTATTTAAAAATAGTACAAAATTGACAGTATAGTTCTAAATGTTCCTTTTTCCACATGAAAAGAATGCAAACAAAACCACACCAATACATTTTGTGGAGAAATGTAAAGGTAATGGCAAAGAAGACTTATAGGTCAAAGCATTTCATAAAAAACCAAAAGCATGAATAATAATGATGGCTTACAGCTCAAAATACATTTCATTACAAAACTAAATACACTGACATATACAAAGAGCATGAATAATAGTAATGCCATTACAACAAAGAATTATTTATAGAAGACAAAAAATCCATGCTTAAAATTGTCATGTTTTTTTCTTTTCTCTCTTGGTTACTTGAAGAAATGAAAAACATAACCAACCTCACTGAAAGACAAGATGTTGATCAAACATCTAAAATCTTTTCCATTGCATACTACATCAGTTAAAAACACTGATTAACCTACGGACTAATCACAAAATAATGTTAGATGGTGATGATTCATCATGATAATTCTCAATTTTCATTCAAAACCCTTTAAGGCTGTGCATTAGTTTGGTGATTGTTGTAAATTCACAGGAACGTATGTTTCCTGAAGAGAAACAATGAATATACTGCACCTAAACTACCCTAGTTCTAAGTGTTAAGACTGATACTGAACCCTCATTCTCCATGAAGTTGTGGCTCTATCAATTCTATGTTCCTTACACTGTCACATGTAGATAATTTTATTTTTCAGGTATTTCAGGCCATAACTTAAAGTAGTAACACGTGGGGGAAAATCGTCTATGACATTAAATAGTTTTAAAATTCAGTTTGGGCTGAAATATCTTTTGATGAATATGTGTGTTTTAATTGTTCCTGTGTAGAGTGCTGAAAAATCAACATGGACAATGCCAGTTAATTTCTGTTAATCATTCAAACAAATTGTCACCAAAATCGACCATTTTTTCACTTGGTTCAATAGAAATCTACATTTTTCAATATCTCTACAAAAAAAACTGTAAACTTTGGAATTTTCTTTTATCATTGAGAGAAAAGAATGTAAAAAACAACAGAAAATATGAAATATGGGTTTTTATTAATAATAATTCTAAAAATACAAAGAAACCTATTTATATTTATTCAAATATGTGTCCGATCTCATTTAAATTTTACCTTAACGAGCAACTTAGGACAAACAAGAATGACATGTTTTGAATTGCGAGCAATTTTCTTTAACACAGGATTAAGCAATAATGACAAATAAAACTGTAAACATTCAAATAAGTATTACAGCCTGTTCTTTTTTTTCTTCTTACTTTAAATATAAACTTTCATTTTTTGGAATTTTTGAAAGAAAAAAAACATTGATTATAATAACATAAACAGTCCAACAATTCAAACACAAACCTGTTACTGCACTGAAGGAAAAAAAAAAACAAGTTTCCAAGATTATCTACATTTATGGAACATTCTGTAATGATGGATCTGAGGCTTTAAGCTTAAAGGTAGAGTTTTGCATTGGTTTTATACCAGTGTTATTAAAGCATTTGTATGCAATTTTGAATAACAATGTACTTGTTGCATCTTGAAACAGGTGTGTGTGCTCAGAATTCTTAACTCCTGATCACATGCAAAGAAACCAATGCAGCAAGTCAAAAAAGGACCAAACACACACACAGAGGCTTCAAAGATCGTACTAAGTACTTCAGTAGAAAATGTGAAATATACTAGTCATAATTAAGTCTGAGTACTGATACATCATAAGGTTGAATTTTGGTTACTCTAGCCAGGAAAATATAAGTTTGGATTACCCTGGTATGGAAAAGCTAAGTTCAGGTTAGTCTATTCTGGAAAAAAAGACGTTTAGTCTAGTAAAAGCTGAGTTTCGTAACCTGAAAATGTAATGTTACTTCATGGGAATTCAACATAGGCAAATATTTATTGCATAACTTGGATCTCAGTTAGGTGCTGATCATTCTCATCATTAATTGTAAAATAAAACATACCTTTGTGTGTTAGCACACCAGTTTTCCTGAAACTAAAGTTAATGTAAAAGTTCTACAAAGTTGGTGAGTTGAACTAATAGAAAGGACTTTAGTTTAAAGACAGAGAACACAATGAAGAATTCAGTTTCAAATGGTGTATATATCAGATAACTGATATGATAAATACTATGAATTCATGTATTGAAGGTTCTCGGTCTGGGTAATTAAAATTAGCTTCTTAAGGTATGCTATTTTCTTAATTTATTGTTGCTTTTAACAATACTGGTTCAACTACTAAGTATATATAATATTAGTTTCATTTGTTGTTTATTATTATACTTTTATTATAAAGACTGTTTTGCATTGTTACTTTTAGAATTTGTATTTAGGACTAACCTATATCTCCTAAGCTAGTTGAACCTGATGAGATATTATTGGGTTTATGATCGAAAATGTCATTAACAGCAAAGGGTAGTATCTAAATGATGAAACAATGGATTCTAAACTGTAGAAATGTAAGAAAATAATATTTAATTAGTATTGATCACCAGGTTGATGTTTAGTTTTGCTAAAAGTAAATAGCTTTCTCTGACCAGAAGTTGTTATTACTTGCTTAGCTACCCCTAAAGTGATTTTTCTGTTCAAGCGGTGTTGAAATTCTGTGATATTAATGTGAAATGGAAACGTGTTTGGGTATTCTGTTCACTAATAAGTTTCAAGTCTTACTTTTAAGCTAATAAACATCTCATTCATATTTTGCACCAAAAATACTCATTTGCATTTACTAAAGTCATTGTGATGCACTAGGCACAGACAGCATCATGTAATACAAAATATCATAAGCTCATTCATAAAACAGAACACTCTGAGCAACAAATGTCATACAAAACTATGCTGAGTCAGTTCTTAAAATAAGTATAACAACCTTAACCTACATATTTTTCTTAAGTAAACAATATTGTACAGACTTTTCAAGATCCATTAACAAACTCTAGGTCCTAAAAATTAGGTTTTTCTTTACATGGAATAGGAAGCAGTCAACAATTCTTTTTGTTGACAAAATTAAGAAATGATTTTTTTGCAAAAACTCCCCAAATGAGTTTCATGCAACAGGCATATATATGTTTAAGAAAAGAATTTTATCATTAGTCCAGAAGTTCCACATAATTAGCAGGGAAAAGTCCATAGTAGCCATTGGGAGCCAAGCCTTGCCACCAGCCTTCATCAATTTGCTCAATGTGGGTAATGATGTCATCAGGATCAAAAGAAATTTCTGTCGCATCAGCTGTGGGAGATTAACAGAAGGAAATACTTAATAAATAAAAATAAAACACTTTTAATTGTACTATAATGAAAAGGTAACTTTGTGTCACAACAAACCTCTGCTTAAATGTTTCATACTATGAAAAACAACAAAGCATATTTTGTCGTAAATTATTATGATGATCCAACTAATTCTAAAGTAAATTTATCATCATTGTAAAGGTGAGATGTGCTGACAGATGCTATTAGATATTAATTTAATAATGTTAACAGAGCCCTCTACTACTACTAACCAGCTTGGTAGTCATATAGAGCTCGTGCTCTAAGGCCCTGGTTAGAAGCTTTGATAACCTGAGATGGAGTGTAGTTCGGAGAAGATGTGATACCATGTTCAACCATCATTTCTGTAAGAGGATCTCGAACAGTAGGAGGAGCTTCCAGAGGTGGTTCTGTAAGTTAACCACAGGTAGTTTATGAACAACATTTCAAAAGTTACAAAGAATATTTCTTGCTTACTTAACAACAAATTGCAAATGATTGTACACTATTAGTTCTAAGCTAACAAATGACATAAATTGTTACCAAACAACCAACTATGACATTATGCTATTACTTTACAAGATACAACTGTTTCTTGCTACTAAATAACCAATCACAAATAAGTTACAGCACCAATTTACATTGTATAATGCTTGTTTCTCATTCCTATATAACCAATTACAAACTAAATTATAGCAACACTTTATGACTGGTATTGCATAGTAATTTGGTATTTTAAGAATAAAATTTTATCGAACATCAGCAAATCAAGAAAAGATTTTGAAGAAAATTAAACTAAGGATCAATATCACTAACAAATTCTTCACTTTTCAAAACACTAAATGTTCCCACTAATTGTTATCAAAATTTTTCCTTTTCTTATTTCTCGTAATTGTTAAATAAGAAAGTTAAGGATTATATAAATACACTTATTTTATTATATCACACAATCCTTTTAAAGCACTAAAATTTACATTATTATTAATTTTTTACATAGAATTAACTTAGAATCTACAGATTATCTTTGTAAGTTGAAGGCAAAAATTAGAAACATTATAACCTTGGTGCTTTTGAAAGGTACGCCTTTCTTCATCAGGGGAAAACTGGTTATAGTTGATGTATATTTTACAGCTTTTCTTGATGACCAAATAATCCAGTGCTTTTTGTAATGGCACTGGCAAAACATTATAAACTTACATATCAAACTCCCAAGTGATCCCTTTTATATAAATGTCTACATATTTTATCCTTGTCTCTCAATCTTCTACATCATCAAACCTTAGAGTTTTACAAACATAAAGACAACATACAGGTTGAACAGATAGAATGTTCTATATGTAATGGTTTACTGAGTTCATAGGTAATGACCACCTGGTTATTTCATTTTCAACTTTTCTTAATCCTACAACGTATGCAGAACATTTCCCTGACAAGTATGCTCGAAAATCACTGTGTTAACTACTTTAAATGAATTATTGAGCTTGTATACTAGACATAGTAGCTAGCCATATATTTATTACAATTATAGCAAATTAATCTACAGTCCATAATAAATATTGATATTGTGAAACACTAAATAAAAGGCTTATTACACTGCATAAAACTTTGCTTGTGGTGCAAAAAATTTGTTTTGATAAAACTTAAATTAAAGTTTCCAAACTATTTGTATTAGCTTATATTAAAATAAACTAAAGGATATATTCTGAACCTTGCAGCATTATAAAATATTGAAAACAAAATAATTTTTTGATGATTGACAGAATTATACATTTTCCATCACAAAATTTAATGTTTTACCAATCTAACCAATTTTTCAGACATCAAATTTAGACCAACTTTCTGTGGGGTACCGTAGTGCCAGTACAGTGTAATAAAATTTCAGGTTCATGCCTTTTAGTTTCAAACTGTTATAGTTGGTGCAAAAATAGTAATTTAGATGAATATTTCACTATAAAAACAAGTTGCAATCATTTATGTATCCTCTTTGAGTCAAACAGATTTCTTTTTCTTCTGTTATCTCTGTATAATCTAATCATCAAGCTGGTGTGTCAGGGCTTTCAGATGTTTCTCAAGGTCCCACCTTACAAATAATATCATATAATATTCTTGTCTTATGCACTGTGCCTCATATAAAACCTGTATATAAAAGAGTCTATCAGAAGTTCTGATTACTTCAATACAACCAAAAACCATAAAGGAAATTTAATTACATTTCACAAAACAGCACTAGGTAATCTCGTGTATCACCACAGAAAAGTAACAAAAATGGGCAATTCCATACCCAGGTAAGTTAGCATGCAAATACATTTACATAAACTTAAAGAGGGAGATAGAGTAGTTTAGTGAAATTTTGTATTTTTCATGATATGGCCAATACATTTCTGTTAGTAATTACTAATCAAAAACAAAAGAATTAAAAAAAATAAAAAAATTCCTAGACTTTAGGTATTTCTTTCATGATTTTTCCATATTTTACTTGACTGTATTACACCCTGTATAAAGAAGGCATACCGGTCAAACAGAGTGGTCAATACATGTAGGTCAACTGAATCCAAATGTCTATACAATTCAGTTTAGCTACTGCATGAGCACTGTAGAGCCCACAATGAGAAAATGTAATTAAGTTTGTCTGAACTCTAATCACACAAAAATTAACATCTTTAAACAGAAATAAAACAGAAAATTTCTTTTCTCAATACTTGTATAATCAGGGCATGTTCCCTCACAGTGCTCGTCAAACTAAAAATATCAACATGATATGTTCTCTCACAGTGCTCGTAAAAATGTCCTGGTAATATTTTTGTTTGACGAGCACTGTGAGAGAACATGTCCTGGTAATATTTTTGTTTGACGAGCACTGTGAGAGAACATGTCCTGGTAATATTTTTGATCCCAAAATCTCCACAAACTGAATAATTGGCTTATGAGGAAGAACTTATTTTAATCACTTCATCAGTCTATCTAGTACTTACTTACAGCTAAGGACAGAAAATAAGGGATAAAGAAAGTCTACAAGATTTGTTTTTAATGAACTAAATAAAATAGCAATAAGTTTTTGTTTAAATTAACCACTGCTTTATGTTCCTTTTGGTGTCTTTTTCTTTGTCTCAAATACTTTATTGGTTAAAATGATTCAATTTCCATTAATTTACTTTTCATCAAGTTAATTTTCCACATTTCATTAATTTTACTGGTTAAATAAAATCTCTTGCAACATACTGATAATTACTGAATCAGAAGGCCTAACTTTATAAAACAACCTATTCAAATCATTACTGTCCCTGTTACCAAGCTGCAGTTATGTATCAGTATAGAAATGTCATGACTTAAAACTAACCATCCCAGTTCTGCTCTTCTTCTGGGTTGGTCAATTCTGAATCTTGTCTTGGAGGAAGAGAATCTCGGAGCAAATTCCTAGTGTAAGAAAAACCTTCTTCTGAATATAAATCTTTGATGTCCTGATCCTTTGTAACTTCAACTTCTTGTTGTACAGAAGCAGTTTCTTGATAAACAGGAATGGTCAAAGGAACCTGAAAAAAACAAAATAATCTTACTTAAAAAACTGTTACATCTGTTTAAAACAATTTTAGAATAGAAGCATTAGAGAAAAATGCAATAGTTCATGTCATTACTCTGAATACTAAATACTGTAATTATTAAACAATTTTGAAATACAAATTTGAAAATCTCTTGAAACCATGTATATTATTTCCCAGTTTATTATCACATTTTTTTACATCCATACTTCTGTAAATTTTATTAAAATTTAATAAATACATATATATAGACAGAAAGGGAGAACTGCCACAAGCATTTGCTTTTGTAATTCTTACATGTTCAGGCCCACTGGCAGCTACTGGTTCTTCTGCTGTGTACATTTCTTGGGGAAGTTTAACTGGGGGTTTTGCTGTAGCCATACCAATCATCTGTCCAGCACAAGAATTTTTTTCAAATATGGCTTTTGCATTGACTGTTCTCTGAGATATCAGAGCTTGAGCTTCCTGTATAAATCAAAAGTAATTTACTGATTTAGAAATCACTTTGTCTTATTACACCAGATAAACACACATGCATCAAACTGTGTATTTTAATAGGAGGTTCTCCTTGTGGATGTACCACAGCAACAAGACATCACATTAGCAGGGCTTTAGTTAGGCCTATTATATACTTGTTGTTTTTTTTAGTATCATGTTTCCATAGCTGATCTTTACATCTTTTTTTATTTCAAATAGCACAAAAATTGATTTGCTTTTAACAAAAAAATATTTTAATATTTTCTTAAAATACCAGTTAGAGTATTCAATTTTAAACAGACAGCAAATCCATGTGTCATTTTTTTACCATACAAACTACAGAAAAGTAATATAAATTAAATTCCCTGTGTTAAACTTAAACTGTATAAACATGAGAATTCAGCAGCATAAGTTGAAGATTGTTGCTCACCCCATTCACATAAGAGACTTCTTGGTGAAGAATTTAAGTTAAAGTAATAAATCAAGTAATTTCTGACACACTTAAAGAAAGTTTTTCAAAAATAGATGAAACATTGCTTCTTGGCTCAGATACACTGAATAGTATATAGTGTATGAAGGATCGGGATATTTCCAAGCATGGAAAGAATAAGTTATTCTATTGAATATGATGTCATTGTTGGGCTTGGTCTAACCAGCCAAGTTTGTGACCCCAAATTGACTTTTATAGTTTTCATACTTTAACTTCTAATATGTTTTGTGTATTTTGCAAGCTTTCAGTAAGCATTAAGAGTCATTTGTACACAAAAAATCAGAAATTTTAATGGATTATTTTCACTAAAAATTTATCTGTGAACCATATGAAGTCAAAGTGTTTACTACTCTGAGTGCAAAGTGATTTTCTTGTTAAGAGTAAAAATATTGTTGTTCATCAGAAAATTGTCAAATTTCATTTGTGTAATCTCCAAGACCTAAATAAATTTCAAACATTTTTTTGCATAAAACTTTTATATATATAGCCTTATAAAACTAAGAACTTAAAAGTTATATAATATTGAAATTTGGATTATTAGTTATATTTTGATGCCAAGTTTATCCGAATACCATGATAATTAAGTACTCTAATTAAATTTTGAATGTAACTCAGTAAAACCTCATGACATGCACAGAAAAGGATGTGTATATGGAAAGAGTTAATTACAGAAATATATACATCGGTTTCATGACTTAATATCATGTTTGTGTTCATAAAAAACATTATTCTAAAAGCCTTGAAAATAAAGACATATAAACATTATAAGCAATTGAAAATTTAAATCACAGGTTTTCAGCACATAAGTAATTGAATGTCTCCAGTCATGCAAAGGAAATATGGAACATAAAAAAATATCAAAACTGAAATTGATGTTTCATGTGTATTCACTTTTCTATACTATAACATCCAGGCATGAATTATTATATTTCAAAATAAATAAACATTGTGTACAGTGTATATATATATAACTTTAAAAATATTTGAGTTAACCCATCTAAATTTTTACTACAATTATACTAAATTACACCTATAAAAAAATAGTATCTTGTGACATAAGAAGCTATATTTATTCTTCAGGAAAGGTTCAAACGCAGTTTTTCTTAAAAAGGTTTTAAATTACTACTACTTGTTCTTATACCTGGGTAATAGAAAAAACATCTTTGATCCACTTAAAAAAAAAGTACGGAATTATTTATGAAGTATTCTGCAGAGACATTACAGTAATGTCTTAGAGCTCAGGTTGTGAAAAATTGGACAAAATAACCTTATTATATTTAAAATTAAATAAGAAATAATAATATGTTTATCACATAAAACCAGACTATTTATGTTCCAAGAAATAAATACCAAAGAGCCTTGATAGGAAATGTTTTATGTATATAGATGTAAACAAACAGAAACATTGTACAGGTAAGAGGGATGGATATATTTAAAGAATTTTTGGAAAGTTATTATTTTCTCTGAAGTTACCTTAGGACAACTTTGTTTCAAAAAAATTTTTTTTAAAAGTAAGCTTTCTTACGTTACTACGCTGTCGTCTCATCTGTTCACTTCTGTTCCTTCGATCTTGTTCTTCTCTTGCATTTTCTTGGAGTTGTTTATCCTGTATGATGTTTTATATACATGTTATTAATTTAAAAAATCAGGAAATACAAAGAAAAACACACATTTTGATCACTGTCTAGTAGTTTAAAAATGCTTGTGTAATGTCATACGCCTCATTGAAAACTTATGTACTAAATACTAACTAAACATTACATAAAAAGAAATATAATTCAATGAAGAAAATTCAGTAAATCTTTTAAAGTATACATACTTAACATAAGGTCTTCACTAAACTACAGTTCAAAATTCAACAGAATGGAGAAACAGCTAGAAAAAACATTGATTAATGTCACAAAAATAATCAACTAATCAAAATTAGAGTTGCCATGTTATGAATAGAATTTGAAAACTTTAAGCTACTATGTATAAAAAGGTGTAGCTGCTTTTATTTTGTTATCATTTTGATGATTCAGAAGATTTATTCTCAATAATTTTGATCTACTGCCACTGTAACTAACTTGACTGGTTGCAAAGTAATAACTGAGACAAGTCTTTAGCCACCAGACTTTATAGAGACAATAAATGCAAATTCTACTGGCCTAATTGAATAAAAATTTTATATATCTTAACCTGAGAATATGTGTGTAACGTGAAATTAGCAATATTCTTGTGTACATGGATATACAACAGACAGTACTATCATATTTATATAGATAAAACAAAGGTCAAAACAATTTATAGCAAATGTATTACGTGGTGCTTTGCTCACCACAGGTATTGAAACCCAGTTTCTAGCATTGTAAGTCCACAGATATGCTGATGTGCCACTGGAGGGCATTTTGATAGAAAAAAAAATATTTTGTGAATTTATGAAGAAAACAACAACAATCTTAGGTTTGATTTTTGAAAACAAACTTCGAGCCTGTTTTAAATCAGGGCTTCCTAATGAATGATGTTTTTTTTATTTTTCCTTCACTGGCAAGGATAAATAGACCCTTATGGAGAATATTTAGATTATCTTGTACACGTGTGAGTACCCATTCTGGTGAACAGGATAAGCCTAGCTCTATTCCTTCCATCACTGTCATCCCACCTCAAATATTAAAATTTCAAAAGTAAATATGTATCTAATATTATGTTCAATTTGCTTTAATGTAAAGTTAATATATTTTTATGAATGTGATACCATATTAACATTATGATGTTTATGTATGAAATATACTACAAACAAAATTCAATATTGTACTTTATAATGTATCAAAAGAAAAAAATCCACTTCCAGGTATCAAAATAGCTGGAGAAAAAATAAAAAAATAAATTCACTGACTTGACTTTAGTCTCATTTTCTATAATAAATATTATCAAGTAAACCTTAATCTTTTCATATAGTCTATTTTATTTCATAGGCTAGGCCTACTGTTTGCTTTTTCACACACAACATTCTAATTCTGCATACATTTATTTTGTGTATGAGGTTAAATATATGATGTATTAGTAGATGTATAATTAATAATCTATAACCAAAAAGACCTATGTTTTCTTATGCTAATAAAAAAATATATACAATTTCCAGGTTCAACCCATCTTCCACTTCATGCAAGCACTCTACCAGTTATGGTGACTTGAAATTAGTCTCATTGTACACAATAAGTATTATAATTTAAGCCTTACTCTTTTCACGTATTCTATTTTCTGGCAGATGGCATAATTTTATTTTATAGGCTAAGCCTACTGTTTGCTTTTTCACACACGGCATTCTAATTTTACATACATTTCTTTTGTGTGTGAGGTTAAATATATGATGTATTAGTAGATGTATAGTTAATGATCTATAACTAAATAGGCCTATAATGCTATATTTTAAATTAAATGTTAACTCAAACTTACCAAAAAAACATGAAGTCTGCACAGTATTTATTTGTGTAATGTATATGTTAACAATAACATTACTGGTACGAATAGCAGATGATAGACAGGCATATCAATGAAAAATTGTCATTTTGCGCACCTTCACATGAGGGAACTGTGACCTGCGCAGTGAATGAGGTGGACAAACAAGCAAGCAAACAAACAGGGATTTCAAGTTTTATATATAAATATTGAGGTATTGTTTAATCTCTAAACCTGATTTTGTTCACTAATAAGATTACCGAGCTACTGGGGCTTGTAACTGAACAACGTATTCAACTTTTACATACATATAGATAGTACAAGTAACTCATGTTTATCCCAATTAGCTTATTCTAAAATCATTAATGTCTAGCTTAATCAATCTTTTAGTTTAAGAGAATTCTCAGCTTATGAGGTTTAAACAACTAATCTTCAATCTTTATAACATAAATTTGAAAATACTTGTAACATAAAAAATACACACCCACTGAAGTCTTTCCGCTTCTGATGTTTTTAAAGCATTTTCTACATTTTTCTCTGCTTCTCTGACTTTGTTGATAGAAGAAGTACGTTCCTTCACTAACTGTTCTCGTGCCTGAGCTTCTCGAAGCTATGAGATGAGCAGAGAAATAGTCAGTTTTAACAATAGAACAAGAAATGAAGTATAAATCCTAAAAAAATATTTAAAAACATCAAAAGTCTTGTTTGTTTCAATTTCACTTAACTTGAAAACAATGATTAAAAAAAAGTGCAGGAAATCACAAGAAAAAAATTAAAGATATTAAAATTGAACAAGATGCTTGACTGGTTTCAACAAGTGGACACTTCTCTTTTTCTGCTCCTGAAGAAAAAAGTCCATTCTGCTAAGGAGTTGCAACTTTTGAGTCAATTTCAATACCTTAACTTTCTTTACATGTTAGTAGGATTAACTCAATGAGTCATACATCCAATCTGTTATGATAAAAATCATTAGTTAAATAGATTTTGTCTTTTAGTAATCAAATACTATACTTAACAAAAGATGTGATAACATAGGATTAAAAAAAAAACATCAAGAATATTTGACAGATAAGGAACACAGATGTGAATTTATATATTTTCTATACCTTATATGAGAAAAAAAGGACAGCTAAATAGCTCCATAAGGTATTGCCAGAACCACACATTTTTCTAAATATCTGTACGGTATGACATGTTAGTGTAAAAACTGTTTTACTGAATATCCTATAAAAGATTTGATGTTAAGCCAAACTCAGCATTCAGTATTGATCAAATCTTGAACTTAAACTTCTTAGTGAAAGTGAATATCTTAGATCGTATCAAATATGCAATCATTTTTGCTAAGCAACCTTGAGCACATATTACAATATTTAGTTTCTAATCTGAGCCTGTTCTCCTTCTTCCTGAAATAAATAAAATAAAAATACACGTTTTTGTGCTTGATGGTAACATTTTTTGAATATATTTGAATTTATAAGTCTAATTAAATGATGAAATTTAAAAATAACTACAGTTTTTTCAAGTAACAAATTGTTCATGCTTATTTTGAAATAATGTTAAATTACACTGTCTGGTATTTTTTATAAACTATGACCTGGCCAAGAGATAACTATGAACACACATAAAATAACCATCAACAAAGAAAGTAACATAAATGAAGACCTTAATGCTCTCTCATATGCCTATTCTCAGTGAAATAAAATACCATGCAATGGGAAGGATGTTACTATTATTCTGATGTCAAGTTTATTACCTCTCTTTCTTTTCTCTCTTGTTCAAGCCTGGCCTTTGTTGAATCTGCTTTTAGCTTATCTTCTGCAACTCTCTTCTGTTCTTCTTCCTGTAAAATTCAAAAGAACCATAAACAACTACACACACAATGAAATTTGGACAAGTACAACTAATCCATATTTAAGTAATATATATATATATACACTTATACAACAAACATACTATTCAAAACTAAACTTACAAATCCTATCCGACAACTGACTGTATTTGTAAAGTTCTAATGCTATTGTAAATATGCTGTAAACCACTTACTTAAAGATTGTCACCTATTATATATATATATATATATATATATA